GATGAGTTTATTATCTAGGATAAGGTTTAGATATTTCACATTTTTTTATAGTCAACTGTGATCCTATCGTATTAGTTTAAGGATGAGTTTCCTTTTCTTTGTAGATAATGTTAAGGTAGTTTTAAGGGTTGATCGTAAGTTACATCTTTTTGAACCATGTATTTGTATAATTCAGTCCTCCTTAATTATTTCATAGAGCAGATGTTTTCTAACTTACCATTCGCAATTATGATAATGTCGTTGTCATATCCTTGGCAGAACATCCCGAGATTTTTCAAATCGCACAGGACTTAGTCAATTCCTAGACTCCACATGAGTGGAGACGCAATTTCCCTTTAAGGGCAGACTCTAGTCGTAAAGATAGAGAAAGTATCTTACTTTATTTTATTTCCATTTCTACTAATCGAGTACGGAGTAGCTATGTCCCTCACTTAGAGATCACCCATCATTCATTTAGTCTCAAATGCCTTTTCATTATTTAGAAAATCCGCATACCAGTATTTATTTTTTATAATTGATGGATTCGACCGTTACTTGATGGAAATTCATTTTATGTAACAATAAAACACTGAAAACTTTGTTTTCAAACTTCCACAAAATTTATTTTAACTATTATCACTACAGCTGTTTCGGCTGATTGCCTTTCTCAAGTGATCTATTTTTGGCATGCGTTTACAATTTATAGTCTCTAATGAAGTAGGTTGAGGAGGGGAGAACTGTTTGTCTCAAGTTGGTCATTCAGAATTATATCTGTTTTTTAATTTGTTGATTTCCATAGATTCTAACAAAAATAGCTTAAGGCCTTTATTTTGAATGTGAAGAATTTTAAATTTGTCATTAAAATAATGATTATGATCTAGAAGGTGAAGTGCGTATGTAACACACCTTTCCTGGATGTTTTAAACTCTAAGAACGATACTGGCTATGATACTCAGGTATATAGAAAACCAACACACACCAACTGATATTTAAATTACAAATTAAATCACAATATCAATATTAAAAAGGGAATCATTAAATCCTTATACGATAGAGCGAAAATTGCTTGTTCTAACGAAAATTCGTTCTTAGAGGAAAAACATTTTGTTAACATCTGTTTTGTTAAGAAATGATTATCCTTTATAGTTTACAGAATAGAACAGAACAACTTAAAACGAGATCCTACAGCATACAAAAGGAATAATACGAGGAAAATAACAATACCACACATAAAAGGATTATCAGAAAAACTTAAAAAGATAGGAAACATTCCAATAAAGTTTAAACAACAAACACATGAGATGTGACATATATACGTACATACATGAGATGTGAGAATAACATACATATAAAATCAAAGTTTGGTGTTTATTGAGAGTACACTAAATGTAACACCAAATACTTACCATGTCGGGATAGTATTATGAGGTTTTTTTCTGGTTTTTTCCTCATGATTTACTATGGAATCACTAACAAGAGAATTTTACTGTCATCATGGCATGTGGTTGTCTTTTTAAAGACTAATTTCATGCTATGATTTTTTCTGACGGATATTCTCAATTTAAAGTTGATTTCATGTAATTGAATGAACTATCTTACAATAAAGCCGTTCCAGGAAAGCGTCTCAACAATATTGGCAATATCATTTTAAAGTCATCTACTTTAAAATGTATAATATATGTCTGAATTGTCAATATAAATGAGTCAGATTAAATTAAATTATTAGAAGAATTTTTCACTAAGTAACAAAAAACAAAATTTGTTTAATTTATTAATGTTTGTATTTTGAGAACGATTTCCGAAGTGGAGATTGAAACGTCAATAAACTTATTTTAACCTTCAATTGTGGCTTATTTCCATTAAAATAGTAATTTCTCATTCATTAATTGTACCAATACTGTTCTGTGGACTTTCTCCCTGGTTTCTGTTCTGGTATGATTGTCCGCAGGTTTTTCATCACTTTTAAAGCAAATGGTGTGAGGCTAATAAAAGATTTTTGATATTTAGAATAATTTTTCTCTACTTTGGGGATGAAGGTAATTGTAGCCCTTTTTAATAGTTAGAAGAAAATGACGTAAATTCGTAAAATTAATTTGCAATTCATAAAAATTTAACTTCCATTAAGACAATAGAATCATTTATAAGGAGGCTGTCGTATAGGAAAAATTACACTATAATCCTTTTACCCTATAAAGGCCGATATGTAATTAATATATGATCAGTGGGCCTCAAACAGTGGGGCGTTAATATTTAGTTCCGATCGCTTGAAAAGTAAAAATAATTAATTTCCTTTATTTTATGTTCAGTAATAATACTGGATTTTACTGCATTAAAGGCAAATAAAATGAATATAATATGTATATACAGGGCGGTTAAAAGAAGTGGGACAGAATATGTCGAATAATCGAAATTATTTGTCGACATCAAATAATCATCAAGGTCTGTATAAGTCTCTATTTTGCGTAGAGTGAGAATTATACAAATGGTTTTGCATGCAGTTAAATTGGAAAATACTTGCCAAGTTGCTGGTATGTGCAAATTTGAATAAAATACATCCAAGACTTTACTTTCTGCAGACACTGTATTAAATAAACCTTGAAACAAATTGGCACTAAATCACTTCCGGGTTTTCAGCAAAACAAAATGTTTAAACACGTGTAGTCCAGTAATTAATACCAAAGCTATTGAGAGTATGCAGTCCAGTAATTAGACCGAAGGTACTTTATCTTTAACTAAAACACACCACAAAGTCTGAATTAAATTCCCGAAACACTTTTTTGTTTCTTCTTTTTAGCAAACGATTTGTCCTATTCACTATCTGATATTTCACTAGCAGAGTCGTCACTATCTGAATTGTCTATCCGAATAATTAGAAACCGGACCTCATCTATAACTCGCTCGGTTTGACTGAAACTTGAAAAACTGAACGATTATGTCTTCTGTATGTCTAATACAATTTTGTCATTGTTCTGCCTTTATTTGTTCTAGCGATTCTTTCCATAAACTAAGAACGCTAGCGCTATCTTTTTTTTGTTTTGGATGCATGTTATCATAAAATTTTTTGGCTACACCCCAAACTAACTCAATTGCATTATAGTGGCAATGGTAGGGCAGAAATCGAAGAACTTCATGGCCATATTTAAGAGCCATTTGGTCAGTAATAAAGTTTTTTTGAATTTTAAGGACTCCACACCTTTGAACTAAATCGACTGTTAAAAATATGTCACTGTGATAAATTTTCTTTTCTGTCAACCACAACTTTATTTCTTCTTTTGTCCAGCTGCTTGAAGGAAATCTCTCTTCTACTCTTGAGTGGTATGATGCATTATCCAAGACTATTATGGATGGTCGCTCCAATTTTTTTAACAAATTTTCTTCAAACCATTCTTCAAAAATATTTGCATCCATATTTCCATGGTAATCACCTGTATTCTTTGTGAACGAAAAAATTATACTAGCGTCAGGAATAAAACCCTCATTATTTCCAGCATAAAGTATAATATAGCGTTTACCATTACCGGAACGACTAGAAAAATAACATTTCGTGGTGCCATCTTGCCAAGATGATTTTGACATATTTCTTTAGCGAAAATCCAAGTTTCATCTAAAAATATAACTTACCTCGGACTATTAGACATTTTATTGTTCATGTATTTTCTTAAAAAATGCCACCGTTTTAAAACAACATTAGAGAGTTCACACAATACTTGTCTATTATTTGTCTTTTTATGTCGAAAAACTAAATGTTTCAACACTCTCCACAAACTTGTTAAACTAATATCACACAGTTCCTTGTCTTTTATTTTTTACAACACAGCACTAACTGTTACATATTCTTTGGCTTTATACATATTATATATAATATTTTTTAATTGCAAGTTTAATTGAAAGTGCAAATCTAAAGTTTTTAGATGTTGACGATTTCTCTTGCTTACTTTATTTATTTCATCCTCACTCATGTTATTAATTCTTCGGAATGTCCTCTCTGAGATACCGCAAGCATCGCAAGTGCGTTTCTGAACTGCCATAACAGATGTCAATGGACCCATATTATTTTTTTCCAAATTGAAATAACTTTCGACTTTTAGAACTAAACGCCGTTCTTCTGGAGATAATACTCTACGTTTCGACTGTATTTTATTTTCTTCCATATTACTCATTTTGTTTGAAAGTACCGCTTCCCTACACTACTATAAAAAATAGGTACTGATATACAACTACTACACCCTAAAAAGGACGAGGGTTGTACAACAGACGAAACAATCGAACACAAATTATTTAACAGCCAATTCTAAACAAGCATAAACACTGTATTGATTGTGATTGCAAAAACAGTTTGCATGTTTTAAATAAGGTTTTTACTGATTATGTATTTTGTTAAATTATTAAAACACAAAAGTATAACCCACGACCATCAATTAATTTTTAACGATAAACAGAAGAGAAATATGGTGACGTTTGAATTAGATCTACTTTGTCGATGACGGTGTCGTTAACAGAAATATATTTTAAACAGTATCAATCATTTTTCAATGAGTGTGTGGATTTAAGAAATACATGATTAAACAAATTTTTTAAGTGTGTATAAAATCTTAATACTCTTTTTTCCTGAGATTACAATTGTGACAGATGGTATTTACTCCTTATTTTTAAATAATATGTTCTTGTAAATGCAAAACTTTTTTTATTGGGTAAACCTACATTATACGATACGTCAGAAGAAATTAAAAAAAAATAACATTGCAATAAAATTATAAACCAATAAACGATAACTTGTTGAGCAGTGCTGATTGAAACAACAGAGCAGTAAAATGTTATTCATAAAGGTAGTATAAAATATATCGCCGCTTATCTGGTCCGCTAGTAATAAAGTTACCAGCATTTAATTGCAAAGCGGTCTTCTTAGGTGAAAAATCCTATACTTGAGATACGAACATATAATTTTCCAAATGGGGATGGAGAAGTATTTTATTAAGTGTATTTAGTGAAACGGAGATTATTTAAAAAAGAAAACAACATCAATCGTGCATTTTTTTACTTATGTTACATTAATACCAAATGTCCCTAGTATATGGGTATATATAGAAAACTATACATCTGTGGATTATATTTATTTAAGAGATTGCGAAAATGTTACCAATTTAGTTTACTCTAATAATAGAATCATATTTATTTTCTGGTATAGCATAAGGAACATTATTTTCAAAAGTTTCAATATGATATTCGCCGGTTATTTGTTGATTTTGTAGCTCTTCAGTCAACGCATTCATTTCTTTTTTGTTCTTCGTATCATTTTCTTTACCAAACAATGACTTTTTGGATATGTCATGACCCGTGTTTTTAACGGTTTCAGATTTAATAGACTGTTTTGTAGTTTCAACACTATTTTGAACTCCAATAGAATGATCGACATTATCTTTTATATCTTCCTTTATTACTGATTTATTAGTTTTTTTACTGGTTACAGATTCTGCTTGAAATGCTGCACTTTCTAAATTTAATGTTTCATTTCCCATTTCGGGTTCCTTAGTCTTAGTAGAGACAGCACGTTTGAAATTTCTGTATTTTGCTGCCCCATAAAATATTCCTGCTATCAAAAGGCCGAATCGAAGTAATTTCAAAAAGGGAGAAAGTTTGACGTGATCTGGTGTGGACATGTTCTAAGAGTAAAATTGAATTTTGAAAAATATTGTTCAATAAATCTACAATGACATATCTTTATTTCGAAGGATGACAGTCTTCTCAAAATGACAAAAGTCATAATTACTTCTTCTTTTAATGCAGGTACAGCTCAAAGTGGGTATTTGCTTCGTTTAATTTTTGTATCTAGCGTTGTCATTCACGTGCAAAAATGTCGGTAAGTCATTTTTGGAAATCTGTGTAACCGATTCTCACTATATGAGCAAACCATCGAAGTCTCTGAAGCCTAGTAAACACTGAAGTAGGTATTTATTTGAATAGTTGATAAAGTTTATGCTTGTATGATCTTCATATCCAATTTTCCAGTCTGAAGACCTTTCTTAGAATTCTTCTTTTAAATCTTATTTTAAAAATTTTATTTTATCAAAAATTTTATTTCTGCATTATGTGTCATTGTTTATGAATCGTATCCATAAGATTACTGGTGTAATAATGGTTTTATAGATCTTAAAATTTGATTTCCGCTGTACTTTTTTTAATTTCAAAAGAGAAGATTATTAAATTATAGAAGAGCCTACCTCTATGGTTTGTTAATAAAACTGCTTAACAGCTGTATTTAAATATCAGCTGAAAGCTGATATCAGTAAAAACGTCCTCTACGTCACAAGCTTCATCTCTATTTGGTTTGCTTTGCGAACATAGTCTCATCTGATTCATGGTTTTTGATATTCTTGTCTACTTCCTCATCTATATTATATATAAATTGTTGCTTTTCATACGTCATTCTAAAATTGAATGATCTATGTATAAAATATTGTAAAAATAAACCATAATAACTTACCTTTTAAATTCGCTAGCACTCACTTCTCTTCTTGCCATTATTACAACATAAAACACGCATATAGTCACAAAATATTAACAATTTGTAAACACAGTTTACAATGAACACTGAAAGTAACACATAAAATTATCTAGCTTTCGCCATTCTTAGTTATAGAATAGACATGTAAATTAAGAATCATACTAATTATATAATATTCTTACACAGTCTCCTTAGCTTAGTTTGGTGGAATGCGGTATTTACCATTTTTTTATTTACCAAGTAAAATAAAAGGTTATGTATGTACGAGTGGAACTCATATATATTGAAAACAAATGAATAACGATTTTGAAACTATATATTTTAAGTGTATTAAGTAAACTATGGTTCAAATTCAATAGGATTGTCAGGGTATCACTTTAAAATGATAGACACTGGAGGGGCACGAAACGAGAGACGAATGTAGTGCAATGGTGGCGTGTACATTTTTAAAATAAGAGAAATCATTGTGAGGATTAATTCGAAAGGAACCCTTTACATTAGACTTCTTTAAACGTACTGATATTGGAATAATGAACCGACAATTGATGATAAAATGATAATTGAGAAGTAAATGTGTGTGCTAATAAATAAATAAATATATAGCCGCTTACTATAGAGTGTTTACGAACTACAAAATGTCTGCCCTGACAATCCTATTGAATTCAGGTTATAAAAATAATACATATTTATGATATATTATGATGATGTGTAAATTATATAGGTTTAGTATATTTTCCATTATTTATTATTGTTTCTCTTTTTTTTTTAAATTAGGGAAGTTCATAGGGAGAAAAAACTCTTCTAGCTAAAATCAGGTGGCTTAACCTAACCACATAAAGTAAAACAGAGGATGACTCATTACCCAGGGCATCCAAAGTAACTTTCAGTACAAAGCCTCCCCATTCGTTGTCCTGCGATGGAGAGAGGTGGTTGGTTATAGCTTGGTGGTCAGATAGGTACCACTCCATTACGGAATGTGACCGATTTGATCTTCGGACATGTGGACTCCACTGTTCCAGTGGAACGCACATGTCACTCGGAGCTGGGTGCTACAAAAATTGTCGTATGTAAGCAAGCTCAGTGAATCGACTATAACAAAAAGAATTCTTATTACGCAACTCTTTTTTTTGCTCTATATTTTTTGGGCGAGCTATTTCTTACTATTTAATCTTTTGTAAAAGTTATTACTGTCCGCTCTTTATTTTCAGTTTAATAATTCAATTTATTTTTTAGACAATGAAGATGACACTGGGGACGTTCAGTTGGGAACTGACGTGATAAATAACATAATAAAAAACGAAGAAAAGGAAACAAAATCAAACAAACACAGTTTATTATTTACATCATAAATGACGAATAGTTTTAAAGCTTTTTCAAATAAAATTTATATGTGTTTATTTACTTTTTTACTTCATAATCTGTCGTTGTGAAGTCCAGAAGATTGCGTACCAAGAATAGACGTGACACTTTGCGTGGCCAACTTCAGGAATTTTTGATTCAGGAAAGAGTATTTTGGACACTAGATCAATACTGAGTTAGTTTAGAAAACGTTACTAATATGACAGCTAAGGAAATATTAAAACTCAATCAAACATAGGGATCGTCAGTAATACAGGACGCTCACAAAAGAGTAAGAAGCGGAACAAATATATTTCTAAATAAAATAAAGCGACAGCACTGGGAAATACACTCAAAGTAGGTGGAAAACGACTTCTATGGGACGCAGTGAGATGAGTGCTTAGCACAAGTGTTGATACTGAATATACTAATTAAATAAAGAGTAGATTTTACTATTGAGAATTTCAGTAAAGTACTAAGGTTAACATCAAATAAATCTGTGAACAGTTATTGCCCGAATAAAATTTATTAGTCGATTATTTTTTATTGTGTTTCAATAACTATTTGATGCGACAATTAGTTAATAGTCGAATAAATTCTAGTGTAATCATTTTTTCACCAACTGTACTTGTTGGCTCAAGTGCATTGCATTTATTTACCACTGTAATTCAGAAAACGTGAAACAAAATTTTTAGATGAGAAAAGGAAAACATGCGACTTGGACGAATTGCTAATGAATACAACAGCATTTGTAAAACTGTTATTAGAACTCGACTCAGCGACTGGTCTACTTTTGTTCCTCCAGAGGATGCATTCGTCACAGATCAAGCATAATAATTGATCTACTGACTTTACTTTTAGCATCCTAATATCTCTTTTCAAAAAGGGAGACAAATGGGACCTAAAAGATTACAGAGGAATCAATTTATTAAATAAAACACTAAAATTAACAACCAAAGTGATAACAAAAAACAGAATGAAATTATAACACTAGCAGAACAACAAGATTTTAGGTCGGGAAGGTCATGCACCGATGCTATATTTATAATGAGGTAAGTGCAAGAGAAATCATTAGAATAGAATAAACCGACATATCTATGTTTCGTGGATCTTAACAAGGTATTTGACCGGATCAAATTAAAGGACGTTATGCACTTATTCTACGCAAGAGAGATACATTCAGGAATAATCAAAACGAAACTACAATATTACTAACCATTCCCCACAATAATTTCTACATAGAACACAGCAGTAAAGATTGTATAAAACCGTTCATCGCGACCCTCGATCCTACCCCTTCGTATAATCAAATTGAGCCTTCATGTGGCCATGTAAAAGCACTCAGTATTATAAGATTACATAGCATAATATGCAGTTTCGGAGTACAGGTACTGATTCAAAGATGCAGGGACGTAAGCTGCGACGTATACGCGTGCTTGATCGACTATGAAAAGGCATTTGGCAGAGTTCACCATCAAAAGATGATAAACATTTTTAAAAGAGGCAGACCTGGATGACAAAGACCTCAGAATAATTTCAGAACTCTACTGGAATCAGACCGCATACATGAAAACTAACGGAGAAGAAACAGATCACATAAAAACTACTACGTGGAGTTAGACAGGGATGTATCCTATCGCCGTTGATATTTAATATGTACTCAGAGAAAATTTTTAACGAGGCTCTTTACGGAATAGACGAAGGCATCCTTCTAAATGGTGAAAGAGTAAACAATGTTAGATATGCCGACGACACCATGGTGATAGCAGATAGTTTAGAGGGACTTCAGAGGCTAATGGACAGAATTAACGAGTACAGTCAACAGTACGGACTAAACATTAATACCCACAAAACGAAACAAATGATTATCAGCAAGAAGAATATAAATGGGACTCATCTATACATTAATGGTACGCAGATAGAGCGAGTTAAAACAGTATTATTACCTGGGAACTATTACTAACGAACAATGGAGCAATTTACAGGAAATAAAGTGCCGCATAGGAAAGGCAAGAACGGTCTTTAACAAAATGAGCGCCATCTTCAAAAGTCACAACATATCCCTTGATACAAAAATGAGACATTTGAGATGTTATGTTTTCTCTGTGTTGTTGTACGGGACGGAGGCATGGACGCTTACAGACACCACTATTAAAAAACTTGAAGCATTTGAGATGTGGCTTTATAGAAAAATGCTGAGAATATCATGGACAGCAAGGATCACGAACAAGGAGGTTCTAGGAAAAATGTTGAAGGAACCAGAGATTGTGTTTACGATCAAACGCATAAAATTGCAATATCTGGGACAAGTTATGAGAAATCAGCACCGTTACTCCCTGCTACAGTCTATATTGCAAGGTAAAGTCAAAGGTAAGCGAGGACCGGTAGAAGGAGAATATCATGGCTGCGGAATTTAAGAACATGGTTTAAGAAAACCTCATTTCTAAACATTAAAGTTCTTTTAGTCAAAAACTTCATAAAATATTCTATAAAGATACTTCTAAAAAGAAAATTTAGTTTTTTTTATAAATTAAAGGAATTCTGCGAGACTTCTATATTACTCAATCGTGTCTGTCCAGTTGTATTTCTGATACAATTTTTAATTCTTTTTAGCCCGGAGAAACTTCTACGGAAGCACTTCAACTGGCAAAACAATATAAATGCATAATAATTTAAAAACCTCTGGCATACAAAGTTTTAAATCATTATGGTGAAAAAAAATCAACATTTCATAAGGGCTTGCGCAATTTTTTATTATGTCATTCCCGTACAGAAAGGATAATTCAGGTTTTAGTTGATTTATATCAAAAATATTATACTGCGTTCAAAGTTTTTAATAGATCATGTGGAAATTTTTTTGCAAAAATGGGAAATTTTGAAATATT